CACACACACACACACACACACACACACACACACACACACACACACACACACACACACACACACACACACACACACAGAAAAACTCTAATGTAAACCTTTTGTTTGAAGTGGTTCATATAAAACATTCAAGCTCTCTCCACTCAATAGAATATTTCAGTGGTGTGTTGACGCCGCCGCGCCGCCAGGGAGCGCTGTTCGTTTTGGCTGGATGTTAGCGCCGAATGATGCTCCGAGTTTCGTTTACTCCACAGTTTGTGCATCTGTAACTCGGCAAGATGGTAAGATAAAACGCTTACCTGGCATTATGTCTGTTTTCTATAAACCACTCTGGAAGAAGTAACAAGTCTAAACGGGCGGACTGGCGTGGCTAGCTATTCACATTCAAATAAGCTAATAGTTTACTGCAGCCCATATTTGCTAACACATTTGCTAGCTGTTTTTATTTTTGAGTTAACGCTGTCTTAATATGTCCAAGTGGGAGCTTTTCTCCTGGTTTCCATGGGAAATCACGGAAAAGTGAGGCACAAACATGCGGCACCACTGGCTGCTCCTCGGGGCGTGTGGCTGGGTCCTGCTCATCCTGATGTTTGTCAGCAGGTTCATCAGCTTCAGAGTTGGAGATGGTAAACAGTCTATTTCGTTTTAAAATTGATAACCACTGGCAGCTAATTATAACTCACAGGACTAAAGGAGGAAAGCATTGTATTGAAATAATTTAAACTTTTAAAATCTTAAAGCAGGGGTATGCAGTTCTGGTCCTTGAGGGCCACTATCCTGCATGTTTTAGAGGTTTCTCTGCTCCAACACACCTGATTGGTGACTAACCAACTTCTGCAGGACTTGAAGAGGTGATTCAGTCACTGAATCAGGTGTGTTGAAGCAGGGAAGCRTATAAAACATGCAGAATTGTGGCCCCCGAGGACCAGGATTGAACACACTTTATTGGTACTGAAAGGAAGTACAATGAGTTCTGTTGTATCTCAGATTATGGGGAGCGACAGGGTCAGAGTTCAACAGTGGGAGGAACCAAAGTGGTGAAACCCCTCTCAGTGTTTAACCAAGAAAAACAAGACCCAACACCATCGCACCAGGTGAATATTTACACTTTGATCCTTCTGTCAGCAGAAGAGCTCGTTCATACGAGTGYTGTTTTTGTCTCAGGCCTCGGTGGTGCCCTCAGTGGCCGACTGGCAGGCGGTTGTGGAGGAGCGACTGGAGTTGCTGTCGACTGTGTGTAAAAACAGCAGCCTGAGGAATCTGACCCATGTGCCCATCAGCAAGTTTGTCCTTGACCGCATTTTTGTCTGCGACAAACACAAGATCTTATTCTGCCAGACGCCTAAAGTGGGCAACACGCAGTGGAAGAAGGTGCTCATTGTTCTCAATGGTGAGTGTGTTTACTCAGGTCCTCAAAATTCGATCAGCGTGCCTTTCTTTGCTTATTTTGTTGTTTTATCTTGTTGCCGGACAGGAGAGTTTACCAGTGTGGAGGAGATCCCTGAAAACCTCGTGCATGATCATGAAAAGAACGGCCTGCCCCGCCTCTCATCGTTCACGCCACAGGAAATCACTCACAGGTGGGTACGGAGTCCCACTTCAAAGGTAAATCCTGTGCAGAGCTGTACGTTTCATCAAAGTCTGTCCTGTAGTGCAGTGGTTCCCAAAGGTTTTACACTTGTGTACCCCCGAGCCATTTTGTCACACCGCTAGTACCCCTTCAGTCAAACGTAATGATGATTCTCTGAAACTATAATGCACAACAACCGATTATTAAATGAAAATTATTTATCTAAACCCCTAGAATGTTTAATTCTCAGGCATTTTATTCTTTTCAAGTCAAATTAAACTTAAAGATAAAAATATTGCCTTGAAAGTGAATAAGTAGCTGAATAAATAAACCAGGTAATGGCAGGTGCAGAAAGCAGCATCGTTTAAAATACATTATATTTTCCAAATGTGAGATTCCGCGTTTTATGCTGTATTCAATTTAATGTCAATCCCGTGATTTYGTCTGCATTTTTTTGCATTGCTGAAATCATCGAGCCCTTCATATCCCAGTCTTATTTTAATTTTCTTTTACACACCTGGGAATATTTTCCACACACCCACTGTAATATGCTTGCGTACCCCTGGTTGGGAATCACTGCTGTCSTTCATAAGATATTTTGGTTGGCAACCAAACATTCTGTGTTAGTCTTCAGGGGTCAGTGTCCTCCTCTTCTCCTCTTTCATGTGGAGTCCCTCAAGGCTCAATTTTAGGCCCRCTTTTGTTTTCTCTTTATTTGCTCCCACTCGGTTCCATTCTCAGAAAGCACGGTATTTCATTTCATTGTTACKCAGATGACAGTCAGGTCTATGTCCCTCTCAAAAAGTCTAATGCATATTCCATAGACTCACTTCTTAGGTGTCTTGAGGACCTGAAGGCCTGGATGGCACTGAATTTTCTGAAAACTGAGCTTTTGGTTTTTGGAGGTACTGCAGGCCACTCCCCTGTAGAKCTAGGTTCCGTGGCTCAATACAATAAATTGTTTGTGAGGAATGTTTTATGCATGAGCTTTGTTGGAATGTTAATTCTGTATAGCACTTTGGTCTGCTGTGGTGCAAAAAGGGCTTTACAAATAAARTTGGATTGGATTTTGCTAACAGACAGACAAAGGTGATAACTGGTTAATAAAAATGATGCTGAACTGCAGAACAGACGCAGCCTCGTTGACTCAAACTCTTGTTTTGTGTGTCCACAGGTTAAGCACTTACTTCAAGTTCTTCATCGTCAGAGATCCCTTCGAGCGTCTGATTTCGGCCTTCAAGGACAAATTTGTGAAGAACCCCCGCTTCGAGCCGTGGTACAAGCACGACATCGCTCCGGCCATCATCCGAAAGTACCGCAGGAGCCACCGCGAGAGCGACCTGGCCGCCTCGGGCCTGCACTTCGAGGACTTTGTCCGCTACCTGGGCGACGCGGAAGGCCGCCGGCGCATGGACCGGCAGTTCGGCGAGCACGTCATCCACTGGGTGACGTACGCGGAGCTGTGCGCGCCCTGCGAGATCCAATACAGCGTGGTGGGGCACCACGAGACCCTGGAGCGGGACGCCCCCCACATCCTGAGGGCGGCGGGGATCGAGCGGCTCGTGTCGTATCCAGCCATCCCCCCGGGCATCACGCGCTACAACCGGACCAAGGTGGAGCGCTTCTTCTCCGGCGTGGGCAGGCGCGACGTCAGGCGCCTCTTTGCACGCTACCAGGGCGACTTCCGCATGTTTGGGTACCCGAGCCCGGACTTTTTACTGAATTGAGACGTTAAACTGACAAACGTTTTAATAAAATCCTTTGCGTCCTATAAATGTGGCAGTAGGTTGCACACTTCAAACTCTGCCATGTGTTTAATGCTCTGACGGGCTGCAGATGAAACTGGAGGTAATAGGTCCATTTAAGCACTAAATACAGGTATACCAGAAGAACACATCTTAATATTTATTTATGATCTACAAGCCCTTGTGATGTAGCCAACGTGTTGCACTGCCTGGATCTCCAGTTTCAAATACACTTGACTAAACATTTTTCATGGATGTTTTTAAAAAGCAATAGAGCCATCTTAACTTTTGATAGTTTTCGCTTCATGCAAGCCACAATAACCTCTTGTAAAAACGGCTTTAGAGATGTCTCGATAAAACAATATAGAAACTCTTGTAGCTGCTCTGGATCTTCCATTAGTGAAACAAAACAACAATAAGGCTCAGTTTGTGCAGCCGATAACATTAACGATGGAGCTCGTATTTTAAATGACAATTTTTCTACCAGAACTGTTCCTGTGTAAATGTTAACTTGCAGTTTGATATGTTACATGTTGCTATTTATAACAGAACTTGGAGACCAGTGGTGCCAGTGGTTTCACGGGTCGGTTGGAAATGCCTAGTTTTAATAAATGTAAATTTGATGCTTCTGTGTGGTTTACTAAAACAATAATTAACATGTTTTCAGGTGTTTTTGAAGAATGATTTTGGCCCACGTCAGCGTCCAAAACAAGTGTTGTTTATTTAATTTGTCAGCAGAGTTGCCTGCTTTGGCCACTTGTGGAGACGTCTGCCYGTCATTTTATCTGTACGTGTTTGTTGTGTCTGCATGGAACCTACAAGAATGTGGGAAATCTTGGTGAGAGAAAAAAAATGATATTTAAATTTTGAGGCGAACAAAGTCCAACATTTTTTGACCTGGTGACAGTTTTCTGCAATGACAKTCAGCTTCCAGCAGGTGGGAGTAAAACATTAGGAATTACCTGGGAGAGATCAGCCTCTAACCTGGTTGAACCCTTGACCTAAATGCYTTCAGACCTTTGCATTCATCCTTCAGCTGTCAAGGAAAAACAAACTCTAAAGTAGAAACGTCAGCAGCAAACGCATCACCACCTGCAGAGTTTAACAATGGTTTTTATTMGTGTCAAAAATTCTCAAACCTGTTATTAAGCACGTGGTTTTAATGTATGTGTGTCCTCTGCCAGGTTTCTTATCTCCTGCTGCCTGACTGGTTCATCCTGTCTTTTCATCTGCGTGTCGAGTCCGAATCAGCGTGTCTCTGTTGGTACATTTCATCGACATGCCGTGTCCTGCTTTGTCATAAAACAGAGTGACTGCTTGCTGCTTACACAACATTACTGTGCACGGCTGAATTTCTAACTGCTTCAGAGGAGTTTTTCACAGTAGGGGGAGGTTGAGACATATCGCTGTGTGATGTGGTTGAGCACAGCTGGTGCAGGTCTTGGAAAAACTCTTGGCCTTTTTATTGATCCACAACTCTGTCCTCTTTTATTATTAATATGGAAGGAGGCCCACCCTGCATTGGTTCAAATGCAAAAGAAAAAAAAGGCTGAACTGTTTGTTTGCTCCTGGACTTCGCTCAGGTGCACAAACAATCACAACATCCCTGTTTAGGCTGCCACACCCATGATTATCAATATTGACATGAGGTCWCAGCATGTCCATATGGATGCTGTGTGATAGGAAGGGGGGTCCTGTCTGTCTCACCTGCACTACCTGCTGTGTTGCTTTGTGTAAACACTGGCTGATGGGGGTTAGGTGGGCCAGAGAGGAGCTGTGTTATCAGAAACCCAGCCCTGCTCTCCCTCTCTCMCTCTGAGTGGGATGGGTAAGGGACCTGCTTCCTGTGTTTGTGGAGCTTTCAGTCAAAACTGTAAAGTCAGACAGAATCAGGCGTGAAGTAAGGAACACCAATAGAGGTACAAAAGAATGACCATAGTTAGGAAAGCAGACCAAAATTAACTTCAGTTGTTCAAATTTGCAC